TTACGCTCCTTCCTCTGCCTCCTCGAATGTACTGTGGAGGAATGCGCAAGTCCTGCATGTTTTGCAGGCACTGCTCCCGTTGACGATATGTCTCTTTCGAGGATCCGAGAAGATCTACGACGAGATCTTCATCTACCTCTATGAGGCGCCTGGGGTGTACCCACATTCGGAGGGTAGCGAGCCTCCCATCCATGGTCTTTTCTTGTCTCATCTTTCTCCTTACCCACTCGGCGCTGTGCGGCTTAAGCCATCCTTTGTCCCATTTATCGTCGTAGTATTCTTCTTCTAAGTCGGAGACTTCATAGTCCTCCGGGTACTCCTCGGTGTACACCACCGGGTCTTCCCCTTTCCTTTTGAGGCTTTGTTGATAACTGTAGTCGTCTTCCTCATCGGGCACTTCTTCAATGGAAACATTCTTTTTATTACAAATTGGAGGAGCACATAATGGTCCCACCGACCCGCCCACCGGGGAACACGAGCCCCCGGTGCCATTATGTGTTAGTGACGAAGGAGGGAGACGTACCGTGAGTGATGGGGGGTAGATGATGTCCCCGGGCGTCTGGACTGTTGTTTGCGGGGCAGTGGGTTTCTGGATGGGGATTCGCGTTCCCTCTTGCGGCTCCGTCTGGTCGGGGTAGTTGGCCGCATAGGGCAGGTGCGTACGTTCCGCCTTCGGGCGAGGCCCTGCATCGTTCCTCTCCCGCCTGGAGGCGCCTTCGCCCACTACTGGCTCGGCCGCTCTTCCTCCGTTTTCTGCGCCGGTACCTACCCTCCACGGAGCGATGTTGACCTTGATCCCGAGTGTCCCGCCGCCTTGCGCAGCATGCGCCGCTTGTGCTTTCGCACCGGTGGCCGAGGAGCTTGAGTGGGGTTCTTCTTTGAGCACGGTGGAAATCCCCTGTACACCGTTCTTCTTTATATGCGACTTGGTAATTTCATTTTGTGATGGTGTGAAAAGTTTGTCATTGCCTCGAGGTACTACATGCGATACATTAGTCCGACCGGCGGGTTTCTGTGACGCACCACTAAATGAAATTGTGTCCTTTGCCGACGCGCGTTTGTCGCTTACGCCGCCGGCTCGTCTTTTACCTCCTCGATCTTTGACGTGGAGGCTTCCCCTTCTTCATCCTTTAACACTTGTTGATACATGGCACGAATTTGGGCGCGCGAGAACTTGGGCTGGTGTTTGACGAGCCAGGTACTTTCGTCCTTCGGGCATTTGTTGTCTTGCTTCCGATGACCCTTGTGACCGCAGCGGAAGCATCTTCCTTCTTTGCGCAGTCTGTCGATTTCCATTGGTTGTCCTTGCCCTCCGTACGTGGTTCCTGTCCCTGTCTTCTTGTCACCCTGGGAATTCCCGGAACTTCCGGCTTTTCCCGTTCCCTTCTGCTGGTTCTGCGTTCCTGGGTTTCTGCCCCCGTCTTCTGCTAGTCCCACGCGGTAGTTGTAGTCCATCTGTTCTACTCGGAACTTCCACTCGGCATACGTGCGTGGTAGCGCAGTTCCTGTTGCGTGTATTGCGGTCTTCACGTTCTTCCGGATAGCGGGTTTGAGGATTTCGATCATGTATTCCTCGTTGTGCCGCTTGCCGGACTCCTTGGCTAATCGTTCGAAGTCCCGGAAGAATTCTTTTGCCGATTTGTACATGTTTTGTCGTAGGCGTTTGAACTCTTGTAGCTTGAGTTCTACTTCCGCGTCGGTTCGGAACTGTTCTTCGATGATCTGCCTGAATACATGCCATGCGGGGTATCACAGGTATCCACATGTTTCGTCGTAGTATTCATCTCGGGCGTGATTCCACCAGTGTAATGCCTTGTCTGCGAATCGGAACGTACAGAACACCACCCGGTTTGGGTTTTGTCCGTGTGTGTTCATAGTGAACTGTTGAGGGAACACGTTGAAGTAATCCTCACATTGGTTGAGGAACCTGTCCACATCGCTGGATTCTCCCTTGAACTTCTCGGGGGGATCCGCAAGTTGCGGTTTTACTTGCCCCCACGGGTTCGTGTTTGCCACCCCTACGATGAAGGGTGGCGGCGTGTTTGGTGGTTGTACAGGATCCGCTGGAATGGGGATTGCCGCCGGACGCGGTAGTGATCGTAGTGCCGGGTTATAATGTGGGGTTAAAGGGCCTGGTGGCGCAGGGGCTGGAGCTGCAGGGACGGCTGCGGCTGCGGCGGCTGCCGTGCCGGCACTTCCTGGTGTTCCTGCGGCGGCGAATAATCGGCTAGGGTCAACGTACCCGGTTCTTCGGAGGATGGATAAGTGGCTTAAGTCCACCGTGCTTCCAGTCGATGCTTCTGATGGTGCTGGAACCTGGTATCGTTCTCCGGGATTCGTGTAGTCATCCGGGTGTACTTGGTTCCATAGAACATTCGTGTGAAAGACGGTTTCCCGGTAGATCACCTGGGCCCCGATTTGGGAGGTTTTTTCCTTTTGGAAATACCTTCCTTGCGGTGAACTGTTCCAGGACAGTTCTCGTGGCAGCTTCCTTTCGATCCATCGCAGCATTTCTAAATATGTCATATTTTCTAGCTCGGCCTCAGTAGGCTCCCGAGCTAGATCCTTCCACGAATTCGGGGATGATATCCTCCTCTCCGTACTCTCCGACCCTATGCTGCTGCCATAAGTCGAAGTCCGCCCTGTTCCAGGGTTCTCGTAAATTTCGCCTTCTTCTAAGTCCGATAGGTCGGACTTGCTCGAAAGGCTCTGTGCTTCCCGTAACGATGCGGTTCCAGTTTCGTATGATTCTTGCCCACTCGTTGACCCTGAGTATGACCTGATCGAAGTCTGGTCTTCGGGGTCTGTCCCAGACCCAGGGTGCGATGAAAGGAACGGGCGCTGTGTGGGGGTGTTCTGGTGCGAGTGGATAGATGGCGTAGGGGACGACGGAGGCAGGGGCCTCGATTCCTTCGTACATGAGCCATGCGTCGGCGTAGTCCTGAAGCTGTCTGCATATATTGCAGCTGGCGTCGGCGTCGTACGTGGGTCCGCAGTTGTCGAGCTCGGTAGTTGCCTCCCCGGCCCGATCGTTGATGATGATCGGGGTGTTTGGACGGTTGACGAGGTTGAGGTAGCTACCTTCGTCGTCTGAGGAGTCGTTGCGGGCGTAGTAGTAGCCCCACGTTTCTCCTCTGGAGTCGAGCCGTGGGGGGGACCAGTTGTTGCGCGGCCCTGGGAGCTCGTCGCTGTCGTAGTCCTCCTCTGAATCTCTGCCTTCTTCATTTGAACTGCTTCCAGTTCCATCTTCAGCCTCTCCTCTTTCTCCCAGACGATATCTAAGCCCTCTTTGATAGAGGCGCTGTCCGTCGGAATCATATCCAGGGTTGGCGGCTGAGTTTTCTGTCGAGGTGGGGGAGGGGGCGTCCCAGGGGTCACTTCCTTCATCTTCCCCTTCGTCTTCTTCCTCGGTAATGGGAGAGAGAACACGCTGGTCCACCCCTTGTTCGTAGAGTCCTCGCTCTTCTTCTTCTTCAACGACTGGGCCTCTTTGTGTGGGCCATCCTTCCATCTCGGTGTCGGACTCACTGGACTCGCTTGAGTCGGAGTCTTCTGTGATCCACTCGTCATCTGTGATGAAGATGAAGTGGATAATGGGTTCGGGTCGGTCATCGACGTAGTTGGGAGGGGGTGTGTGCGGTCGTCGAGCCTCCGGGTTGGGGGCTTCGACGGGGATAGTTTCTTCGGAGACTGGCTCCTGGTTTCGTCGGTACTCGTATCCATATAGGAACGCGAGATAGGCTACGGCAATGAAGCCTTGTAGTCCAAAGAGGTCTGTGAGGTATTGTTCGATAGGGTTCATTCGTTACTGCTCGTCAACGTGGTTGTTGATGAGGAGTAAGAAAGTCTCGAACTAATTGTTAGCGACCGATTACACAAACAAGATCAAACAACTAAGCGTGACTCGCACTTCGGTCAGGCGCTTTATGTTGCTCGCAGGTTTGCGTGCAGGGAGCTATTGCTTAGCGAGTCGAGAGTGAGTTCAGACTAAGTTATCGGGTGAATAAACTTTAGTTCGAGACTGAGGTGTAAGACCTGCAGTCGAGCTACTTAAATACAGTTTGGGTCGTGCTAAATATACTACAAGTGTCCGCAACGGTGCGTTAAACACGCAATACCCACATGGTGAATGCGATCAGGTCCGGAGAATTAGCATAGCGAGATTACGATAGAGCCGATAAGATAAGATAAGGCGTAAAATCGTAATACAACCCCCTACACAAGATGCTTAATAAATAATGAGTTTTAAGATCATGAACACACCTTCATGATACCAGCTATGACATCAAAGTAATACCATCCAAAGTCACCACAAATGTAGAAAGCCAAGAATAGAATCAGAGTTATTGAATAGAGAGCAGAGGATTCCACTAGCACTTCAATAAAACAGCGATAAACTCTCAGTCGGCCACCTGCTCCATGTCCAACCCCAGTAACAGTCAAAATGCGGAAAATGATAAGCAGTGTGCACCATAATGTTGTTACCAGGATAAAGGATGCATAGAGCATCATAAATAGTGCTGAGTAATATACACTGAAGAACTCATGATATACACCAATGATTTTCAAAACTACACAGAAGTTGAATATATGAAAAGGATAGATGAGATTGGACACTTTACCAGTTGCAGAAATTAGGGAAAGGATTGGAAGCAGAACAATAAACCAGCACTGTCCCCAGACCATCCAACAGCACCAAATCTAGAATTGAAAAGATGGTAAGCTGCCATGGATAATTACTGGTGAAGTAGCACACACAATATATGAGTCTGCGAGAATGGTACTCATAGAGGCTGTAATACCTGCCACCCAATAGACTGCTTGGCCCATACCACTAAGCTTTGCAAATACAGTCCAAAAACTTTGTCCATTTTTAATGAATGCAGAGCATATAAATGACCATTGGGCAGCAAAATTGATAGTAATCAGAGCATGAAGGAGAATAATAATGACAACCAAGACTCATTGGATTGGCCAGCATTTATTAATGACTGTGTCACTTATGTCAGCTTGGATAGTAGTGATGCTCCTGGCTCACAGATATTCCACAATGTAACAGCAAGAATTCCAGTGTATATACCTGTCATCAGTCAACCAACAGTCAACATTTATATGTCAAGGCACTAAATGTCATTGCCCACCATGCAACGATGCCAGGAGAATTTGGGAGTTCAGGCTTGCATCGAGATATTGAACCATGAGAGCTTTGTCTTCATCGGTAAGATCTGGTGGAATATCTACCTGAGCCACCATAAGGGAAAGCAAGCACAACAGGGTAGTGGGTTATGAGAATAACATGTACTGACCCTACCATTATAAATGGTGCAGCCCATGGCCATGCTCATTGGCTGGCGCAAAGATGTCTATCAGTATCAAGTCGAACCAGGATCCTTACATGTGTTCGGCAACTTAATGAACCATCTTGTACATTGTCATTTTCAACTCATTTCGACTCGCAAGTGCGACGTGATTCGAGGTAAGATATTGCCGGAGAAAAGCCTCTATTGTAGGGAAGCCACTTACACGAACTGCGAGCTTTTCAGATATGTTCTGTTGAATTAGGTTCTGTCCGGGAAGAGAATCAAGATATTCATTGAAGTGAGGCACCTACCAACATGAGCGTATTCTGTCATAAGGTGAATTTTAAGCAGGTCTTGCTCCCCAATCTGGGAACGCTTTGATGCCAGTTCCGAACATCACTATGCCGAAGGATCCTGATATTTGTGTCCCAGTGGATATTTTCGTAGGGGTACCAGCCGAGCAAACTGTATGGAAATGAAAGCCAGAAGCACAGTCATATAAGATTAGAGAAAGTTATCCTGGAAATGGGGCATCTATCAGAACAGCGGGGGAAGAGAATACAACACGTACCCCATAATGAACTTAAAGAACCCTGATCTCTTCCAGAAGCTATTTCCCTTCCAGTCACTCGATACATCTCCAGAGACAGGGTGTTGCACAGTGTATCCGAGTATGAGTTGACCCATCTTGTTTGCATCGTCGTTTCTTCATTAGCCATCACTTGGACACTGAGGTAGGCAAAGGTGGTGACAGGCCAATACTGAGAGCTGAGAGAATCGATGGGTGGGCCATAGAAACGACATGATGCGATGCCATTTGAATCAAGTTACACAGAAGAGTGACCGGACACCTGGAAAAGATCGGAAAAGATGGCGAATGAGGGGAGATATCTGCTCGTTGAGTGATGAAGAAAGCAGGACTTCACAGATGGGCTCATTAAATACGGTCCAAAAAGAATGGCTGAAGGTAGATTAATGATTGATGGTTTCCTGTACTTGTTATGCGTTAGCTCCCCACTCTGTTTCGCTGTCATCCATTCCCTCGTAGTATTCTCGTTTCCAAATCTGTGCTTTTTGCTTTACTTGTTCAAGGATCTTCTCGCATACTACGAAGGCTTCTTTACGGTGGGGAGAGGAGACGGCGATAACTGGGGTTTGAGTTAGTGTATTGAGGGATAGGTGAGGGTTGTGCCAGTACCTATCGAGGGTTCTCCAATGGGAACGACACCGATCCGATGATAAACGGCACAACGAATGAGAGAGCTCTACGAATCTGGTTGATGCTCCGAACGTGTTAGGCTTTGTCGCACGTCTTGAATTATACTAGCCATAGTCTTGATAGCCCATTTTGAATAAGCTTGATATTCAAGGCGTGTAACGGTTCTCCCTAGCATACATATGCATTTTTCCGTAGTATCCCTCGATGGATCGCTACCAACCTTTGAATGAATTTCGCGTAGTACCTAGGCAGTATTCAGAAGCTAAGAGCGAGTCGACCTTACCAATGAAGACGGCGGTAGCGCCCGCAGCGTCGTCCCCTACGGACTGTATTATTTGCTGAACGTCCAGAGGCTGTGAAGTTATCGAGCAGACCCCGCCTGGGACGTCTAGAGCGATGTCTATGGAGGTGTTGGGAGTTGTCATGCTTGAGACCGGGCCGATAGTTCAGCCCTCTCACGCTCAGAACGCATGAACGCTCTCTAATACCAACCATGACCATCCTGACTCGTGCACGCCTCGCTCGAAGACTCGTATCTCGAGCCCGGTACAGCACAGCCCCTCACCACCACCATACCGCTCCCCTCGATATCCACCCCGAAGTCCAAGAAGCCTTATCCACACACAAAACCCATAGTAGCCCTCGAAACCACCCTCGTCACACACGGGTTCGGACTAGAAGACATCGTACGATCCACGAGGTGTGTCCCGGCTACTATCGGGAACATCGGCGGACGCGTCAAGGTTGGCTTGGAGAGACATGAGCTTGAGAGATTGGCGGATAGGGAGGGGAATCCTGGGGTTGTCAAGGTTTCGAGGAGGGATGCCGCATCTGTGATTGGTGCCAAGATGGATGGAGGTACGGCTAAAGGCAGATACTGGGTTTGAGCTGAGTTGTGTACAGGAACGACTTGCAGTGCTACGGTGATATTCGCTGCTCTGGCTGGAATCAAGGTATGCTCACCCACATACGTCGCCGGCGCGTTCATACAGCACCTCGTCATCAAGTGCGGGAATCTGGGAGTGGTTGTTTCAAGACTGAATATTCGAACTCGTCTACGCATACAAAACCTATGACTACGTGCACCAACATCGCCTTCCTCCACCGTCTTCAATCTGATTTCTCTCCCTTCATGCGCTATCCGCCCTCCGCCTACATCGGCTGCTGCCGTCATGCACCTCTCTTCGTCCATCTGCAATTGCCACCTCCCGTCCCGCCTCCTATCCTCAGCCGTCGACCCTCATCCTTCGTCTGCAGCATTGATCGCAACCTCTCACTAGACGGCCAAGTATCGTGTCGGTGGCAGGCAATGCAGGGAAGGAGAGCCAGTGTCGTGCAGGACGGTGTTTGGGTACTAGTATGCAATACCTTACAGGGTAACTCCATCTCACAGGTGCGGATTGGGAGTGTTGCTGTGGATGCGCGCGCACTCTGCGTAAACTACTTGTTAGAATACCAATGGCAAACCCTTGTAAGTAAAGTAAACACACCTTGATACATAATACCACCATGCCTTCATTCACATTATCCTTCGTCGTCATAAACTGAGCCATTGCGCCGCGTTTCGTGAGTGTTGAAGGGCGGGAGTCAATGCAGAGAAGTCGTTCATCCTCGGTCAGAGTACACATCCACACCGGGTGCGACGACTCTGCCGCAGGTATTGGTGGGAGTGCGCGCACTGTACATGGCCTACTTGTTAGAATACCGACGAAAAAAAAAAAATTTTGTAAACTCAACGCACCTTCAAATACCACACCAATGACATCGCCATCAACCCCTCATTCACAACGAAAACGTCGCACTAAGACAAGGACCTTGAGTGGTCGTTGCGACTCGAGCCGGGGCGCTACGCTTGCCGAGTGTTGGCGGGACAGCTGCCGTGACTGTAGAGCTTGTGGGTGATCGTGTTGGTGTCGATGGACTAGCATCTCTCGATTGGGCTTGTCGGGAATGTGTCGATTCACCCTGAAATGACGGCATCAGAGACAGGAAATGGGACACTGAAAAGGCGTACTGTGGGGCATGTTGCACGCGAAAACAGGCTGGCGAGAGGCGTCAATCAACTGTTCGAGGAGACGGCCGGTTATAAAAACCTAGGCAGTTGAGAATACAAAAATTCGTCGAAAAGACAATACACGGACCGGCAGCCCCACGTCCTACCAATGCAATTGATTGATTTATAGCTACAGATAAGGATTTTCGTGAACAAAAGGCAACGACACTCAGAAGGGGAAAAAAGCTTACCTCTGGATTTTTGAACGCGGGAGAACCGGGTCACCATCATCGAGATCGACGACAATGGAAAAGGGACTACCAAGTAAGCTATGAGGATAAAATCAAAGAAAAGGAAAACAGATGAGCTCGACGACGAAGCAGCAGTCAAGATAGAAGCGTGACAGTCACAAGGTCAGCATTAAGGCAGTCCGGCCCGTCCACCCAGCGAGAGCGTATTAGATAGTAGCAGAGTCGAGAGTGAGGAAGTAGAGGTCAAAAGAGGAGGGGAGGACAAAGGGGTGAAGTGGGAATGAAGCAGGGAGCTGGAGTTCGATCCCAAAATCGAGCCGGCGTTTATACCCAAGGAATCCAATCCGAAACGGCGTAGCGTTTCAAGTTGAAAAGGACCCGGAGAGAACACGAAGAGAGAATAACGAAGCAGACGTCGGACGTTGATGGATATTTGAAGTTCAGCGATTTTGAAAGGTGTGCCGGCCACCAACGTATCCCGTTGTCGCGCCTCCACCCCCATGATCTTGTTGATTTCTCTTGGTAAATTTATCGGAGATTTCTGCCGATAGCCTGTCAAACTGTTTCCTTCTTATTCCATTACCTCCATCAACCCAACCTCCCGTCTCCCACCCTTCCCTTCCTCTTGATCTCTCTCTCCTGTACGCCATCTAGCATGTAATCAGCGCACCGTGTTGCCTCCCATTTGTCCTCGATGGTTAACAATACGAGGTGGTGTTATGGGCGTTGATGCCCATATCGGGATCAACAAAGTTGATCAACCGCATGGTGTAGACTTCTTTCCTCTCACCACCACCACGGTAAGTTTCACTCCTTGCTATTGTGCGCTCTTATGCTCATGATCTTGAGTTTAGAGCGTTGATAGTACCGCAAAGCTATGATACGTGTTCTACTGAGTTGGCACCTTGGCTGAATCCTTCGCTTTCCGGACGGCCTCAAGCCCTGAATTTTCGTGACGGACGCGACGTTCACGTCGTTTTCTTACCTCTAGGTATCCTGGATGAGTGAAGTCGCGTAGAATATGCGGAGCAGACCGTGTTTAGATATCCAAGGTGAGTATTGGTCTGCAGCTATCATATTCAGAACTGAACTAACAGCCAATTCAGGTTCCGTCGCTAATTTCTTCAAGACCGGGGTTTTGAACCTGCCGAACAGAAATCGACATGGTGGTTGCCCCGAGACGACGTGGGCGAGCGAGGTGAGTTTTTGATTAAGTCAGCATCTCGATATCATCACTAACATTGGCTTGAAGCTGCTATACTTCTTCCAACCCCAGGATTGCTTCAAGACGACATATTTCCGTCCGCAGAGCGAGGTAAGTCTTCGCTAAGCTATTGTCAGCACTGACTTTGCCTTGAAGCTAAATCAAACTAAGGCCAGGATTGCTCCGAGACGACGTATATTCGTCCGGCAAGCGAGGTAAGTATTCAGTCAAGTCAATAACTCAACATCATCACTCACATTGTCTTGTAGCTGCCGAACTCGTATCAATGCGGGGGTTGCATCAAGACGCCGCATCTTCGTCCGCCGAGCAAGGTAAGTCCTGCCTCAAGTCTGTAACCTATTATTATATTTACATTGTCTTGAAGCTCCAAACAACATCAGGATTGCGTTGAGACGACGTATTTCCATCCGCCGAGCGATGTAAGTCTTCGGTAAATTATTATCAGCAATGACACCGGCTCGAAGATACCGAAAGACCATGATTACTCCGAGACGACGTACCTTCGCAAGGTATGTTCACTTTACAAGTGTCATTTCTCGTTCTTACTAAATTCCTCTCCTAGTATCAAAGCTTGGGTGTGTGCCGTGAAGGGTTGTGAGACTTTGAGTATACGTATTGCATTCCGGCGAGCTAGGTGAGTTGTTTTGTAGGAAATTTCCTGTTGACGTTTGCTCATTCTTTTCACAGGAGCACAAGTTGATTTGCCAGGATGTGAACCTCGCAGAGCCGATGTCATGTTCATCAAACTCTTTCCGCCGTTCTCCGTTTTGACTCGATGTCAAATATCGCGGTAAGTTGTTATTTGCGTATTTTTGATATCATTGTGCTAAATCTTTACTTGTTTTAGGTTCGAGTTCGACCCCGAAATTTTCGAGACCGAAACTCTGCCGAGCCAATGGCATCGCGCGTCGAACTTGAAATAAAGGAAAACGTAAGTTTGGGTTATTTTCTGTTGATTCCGCTCGAATTTTAATCGGATTTTCTTTCAGGATGAGCGAGACATGACCACAGAGCCACGTCGTTCTCCGGCAAGCCAGGTACGCGACGTTTTAATCTACGTTTGACTTATGTTTTTGCAGTTTTTGAAACACCAGAAGTTCCGGGTTCAAACCCTCAGGGAGCCACCATCGGGGGTGCGGAAATCTCAGTTTGCGAGCAAGTGCAGGCAGGGAGGATTCGCGCAGACTCTGGGATGGTTTCTGGTTGAAGAGGCGGACTCGGACATGGCTGGAGAGGTCCCAGGGAATGGTGGTGGGGTCCCAGTATTTTGAATAGCCGTCTTGGGCAAGTCCCAAGACTGGCTATTTTTTTTGGACCCTGCAAGAGAGGAAAGGGAGGTTATGTTCGAGTGTAGTGATTACATAATCGAAGGAGGTGGACTTGATCAACGATGGTGGCTGTGTATATTCGACGTGATCAAGACTTGACTTTGTCCGCCTCGAGGCTCGCGCGTTTTTGATGGACGTCCTGGCTACCGATATGTTCAACCTTCTCACACAGAACTTCAGTCTCGGTGGCTTTCCTTTCTATCTCTCTTTGAAGGGTTGTCTTTTACCATCAAGTGACAATGGACTTTCCGATTGGATGTTAGTCGACGGTTTCAAAGGTCACGTCGATTCCGATACGACCCCTCAATTCATTGTTGCGAGAGTATCTGACCACGCGTCTTTCGCGCTTCCATGGGCCCATTCGGACGTCAGCCTACCACCCCTGTCGTTATCAAAGTAGCGCGCACCGAGACGGAATTGTCTTTCCTCCAGTGGGAAGGGAAGGTTTATAATCAGCACCTGAAAGCTTTGCAAGGCACTGTCGTCCCCAAGTGTTATGGACTATACGTCACCAATAACGGTGGAAGGAGGATGGGTTGTCTCGTGTTGGAACACTGTGCCACTACAAACATCAGGTATGCCGACTATGGGTTTGTTTCTTGGCACTACTATGAACAACTCCCCTCACTGAAGCATTCTTCCAGTTGCAAAATCATGATTGCGATGAGCAAAATTCACCAAGCTGGGAATGTCAAGCCTTCGTCCCATATCCTGACCACACCTGACGGTATCCGCATCGTCGACTTTGCTAGCGCGGCACTTCACGAGTGCCCAAATGCCACGCCGAGTCTGGTTGACACGAGGGACGCTTTTGCACGTCAAGCGGGACAGTGTAAGGAATTGGCCGTTTTGGAATACACATACGGATTGGCAGATGGCAGGCATATCGACGGGATGCTCCAGGCGTCTAATAGCCTCTCCCCTCCACCGGTTGCGCATACACATTCGCACCAGAAAAAATACGCTGAATTAAGTCGGTCCCATAGGCCGACCGGTTTCTAGCTTGCAGGCACATTTTCTTATAATTGTACCGTGTATTAGAATCACTCATAGCATAGAAAATTGTATTGATAGGCAACGATCGTTACATGCATATATAGCCCCTTAGAAAACCTGGATATTCTTTGAAACCATCTCTATCGCTCTTTTAACATCTGCATCGAGATCGTGGTGCCAAACTGGCTCCCATAAATTGGACAATTTTGTCGCCTCCTGCGTTTCCATACCTGGTTGGTATGATTCATAGATTTGTCCGGCTTCGATGGTCCGCTCGATCACACCATTCGCACGCGGCGACCTCACTTCTGTATAAGCCTGAAGTGCGTCCTGTAAAACACTTATTACCGTAGCATGACACAATAGATTTCAAATATCTACCTCGATATTTGACTTAGTGACTTGATCGTTCTTGAGTAATTCGCAAAGCACAAACACATCTTCAAATCCCTGGCCAACGCCTGCCCCAAGATGGGGCGGCATACCGTGTGCCTAGTGGGCGTCAGAGAATGAACGGAGTGAAGAAATGTCGAGGCACTCACGGCATCGCCAACTAGCACTACCCTACCGCAATAGTAACTTGCAAGGGGAGGGTTCAGAGTGTGTATAGACCATTTACTAGATGTTTTCATGTGGTCCACAATTATGCGGGCATCGCGACCCCATGCTTGGAAGTGGTCCTGGAGCTCCCCATCTGGGGCTGTCACTACCCACGGAGATGGAAGCACAGGTCGAAAAGGGATGTCCTTCTTGGACACGAAAACGACCACGTTAATCTAAGACACGGTCACCTTCTAGATTTGCATGGATTGAGTTACTGCGTACTCTTTTATCACCGTGAATGGGATAGATAACGAAATGCTGAAAATGCTATGAGTATGGAAAGTATCAAGAGAAAGATAGCTCCGACCCTACTTTGTTCAATCCGACAAACGCAACGGGGCGCGTGGAAAGCTCCGTCTGTAGCCCTGCTGCCTTTAGGTCTTCAAGCGAAATGAGGCCTCTGTACGCGATTGTATTAGTGAACTCTAAATGCTTCTGTACGCCATCTCCAACGACATAATCTCTTGTTACACTTCGGATACCATCAGCTCCAATTACCAGGTCGGCTTCGTGCTTCGTTCCGTCCGTAAAATTGACCGTCATGGTGCCTTCCGTCGACACAATGGACACACAACGCTTGTTGAAGTGGACAATACTAGGATCCAAAAGACCGACTATGGCATCCAAGAACACAGGTCTGTATATGGCGAGCCCCAAGTCATCCACGGACGCTATAGGATACTAAGTCATGTTAGCGCAGTAAGGAACATATGCAGAAGTCTTACTAACATCATACACGACCTTATGCTCGTCCAATCCCGATAAAAATAGGAACTGTCTAAAAGTAGGGCTCCCAGTATCCGAGCGAGATAAGACAGCATCGTATAATCCCAACCCTTTGAGGGCTCGTAAGGCATTAGGACCTTTGCAGTGTCAGTAGAGCAGCATTTACAAAAACAATAAAAGGTAGAATATCCACCTAATCCAACCCCCGCTCCTATCTCTTCGAATTTCGACTAGTAAATCATTATATCAGCCATATGGTCAATTTCTTGTGGTTCCAACGTACACTTGCTTCGAATACATCAACCCGAATACCGGACTTTGATAAACCGACTGCGCAGGCGATTCCACACATTCCGCCTCCCACGATAGCAACAGTAAAGTCTTTAGCCATGATGGAACAATGGGATGTAAACTTCCATGACTTGCAGGCTTATAAGTCGCCATTCCACGAGGGTCGTGGGTAATGCTGACTGAAATATCATGTCGAAGTGAGAAAATTACCGTGATTCTATTACCAGAGAATCCGTTTTGCCGGTTGCCTTCAGAGCTAAATGAGTACTTGAGGGGGGGAGGAGACGAGCAAGAGATTCAAGGCATCCGATCACCGGAAGGGCGGCCCATCGGCAAACCCCGAGGAAATTTCACCTACAACCACCACCACGTTTCCACTTTATTTCTGCCATGAGACGTACCAATGAACACTTCCTTGCTTTTCTCTACGATTGAAGTGACTAGACAAGCCTTTTACCGCTCTTCACTCACCTTTGCTATCGTAAATATGAAGCCCCTCATTCAGTCTGCTCTTGAGGTCCTGACATCTTATCAACTGCCGCAAATGGTGATGCTATTATGGTGCCATCCACCGGTCCTCTCACGCTCAGAACGCATGAACGCCGCTCTTTAACACCAACATGACCATCCTGGCTCATGCACGCCTCGCTCGAAGACTCGCATCTCGAGCTCAGTTCAGCACAGCACACCTCACAGCTCCTCTGGACATCCACGTTCCATCCAGCCTTATCCACGCACAAACCCATAGCAGCTCTCGAGACCACCCTCGTCACACACGGGTTCCCCTACCTGGCCAACTACACACACACGTCGGACCTCGAGGACATCGTCAGATCCATGGTGCATACTAACAATTATTGGGATCATCGGCGGACGCATTCTCCTCCTCACCGTGCACGCCGCCATCCACGGCACCTGAACGTTCAACATCCACTATGCTCTCAAAACTTCCTGCTACCACGACGCCTCTTGCTGGCATTCCAAAATGGTCCCTTCCTCCCGTGTACTACCCCTGCCGAGCTATTCCTTGCATCTTTTGATCTGAATTTGTTTTGCCCTACAAAGCTTCCCTCGACACCCTCGACGATATCAAAGACGTGCTAGAACTACTGATTGCGAATTGCACCTACCGGCAGGTGGCAGCCCGCAATGTAAACAAGTTGTATCCCTTTAATCGATGTCATGGCTTTCAATCGCATTCCCAGACGACTGCAACCTATTTCTCTCCCCTTCATCCCGCTCCAATACTGAAATATTAATATTTGAACAAACTTGTCTGCCCCTACTATGAGGAGACGCCCTCAATCCAAAGCATAAGAACATTCTTTACTCACCTCCCCTTGCGCTGCCTTTCCTGATGTATCTGGTAGCAGGCTAAGCACAAGTGCCTCTACTCTCACACCATCTTCCCCTAGTCTCTCCGAAACAAGTGTTCTGAACCCTAGATGGAGACGTTGTGCCAGAGAACAAGCTCGAGCTAAAAGTATTTCTACCTTGGCTCAAATTCAACAGCCTGAAACTGCCGCTGCTATTTTCTGGGTTTATGGTTTCCCGTTCGCTACGACACTAAGGATTCTCCTCGCCGGGCCAGTGACTGAAAGCTCTCGGGCCTCTTTCACAGTATCATTCATGACAAGACAGGTCTTGCCGAGGTCTTTGAGATCGAACTCGACAAAGTCATGTACTTGGGACTGCCGTTTGTGCCATCATTGCGCTCTAGATCAAAGGATATGGTTCTCCCTCCAAGTAAGTTTATCTCGCCCTACCTGAAGAGGAAAGCTTCGTTTTTGACTGACTTGCGTTGCAATAGGAACACCGCTAGCTATTTCAAATGATGACAGCCTGCTCCTCAAGAAAAGGAAACGGGACAACTTGTGCTCTTTCCCTTCTTCGCAAGATAGCTCTAATCACATTCCTGCCGACTCATCGTACAGTTGGATGTAATGATCAACTATCGTGCCCCGCACAGGTAATTGCTAGTGAGATTCCAATTTGTATGTACAACAACAACAATATACTATTCTATATAATCTATAGACTATGGCAAAGATAGCTCTTTCCGAGGCGTAAGCAACCCCTTCTCTCGTGCAAACTCGATAGTTCGAGCGGAATTAGGATCCGAAGGCGCGACGCAAAATTGGTCGATTATCGGTGTCTGTAAGAGATTCATCTTGGGCGTGATGACGACCATGGTATTGGTTTCTATTTCCATCTAATCAGCTAAGGAATGAGGATAAGCACGATAGGTGAATCACAGAAACAGTCCTCACCTCGTTCAAACGTATGTGGTTCGCTCGCAGTCTGGAAGGATATGTAAATCACGCAAACAATCAAAAGGACGGACCATGATTATGTTCTCTCGCTTGTCAGCTTTCGACATTTTATAATGACCGCCATCTGCGTATTCACTAAATGTTGTGCCAGATGAGAACCACTGCGATCGCGTCAGTCAGTAACTGGATAGAGCTTAGCAAAGCATATTTACCAGGGAGGCTGCTTCATCTTTCCGTGATGAGATATACCGTGTAGCAACAACAGTGTCCCCATCCGTCACACAAAAGTTCATAAGACTCGGCTAGCAAAACAGCACAATCAGATCCATGAACCCCAAGAGAAACAGCATCGAGCACACCTCAGTGATCCCAGCTTCTTCCGCAAAGGTATTCAAGGAAGCAATCGTGTCAAGCATCGCCTTTCACAATGTCTGGGAGCTAAAGGTCGTGGTGTTCGGGTCTGGAAGCTGGCCGGAGATGAGAAACCAAAAAACAACAGCCGTAGAATTCGGGTTACCTTTGATAGAAAGAGTGCAAAGGCCCATTCAGAATCTAATGGGCTGTGTGAGCTGGGAAATGGAGGGAATTTTGGGTATGACTCGCCTGTATTGCCTTGGACCATGCCAAAAGTGACATCAGGCAGTTGACTCTGCAACTTTCGCTTGATCAGGTGGAAATTGGCGATTCCACCATTGTGCATGAACTAGAGTCTGTCCATCTGTGAGTCACGATTCGGCTAGGCAAAGGGGAAATTAACGTACTATGAGCTTTCCATGTACAAACGGATGGCAGTTGTCTAGAGACAATGATCCTGCTGTTGTAGCTTGTATGTGTCCACTTGAGGATAATGAACATCAAAGCGAGGTAGCAGCTAATATCTTCAACTCGCAATACAAGTGGCGATTTGATCTTTTCAGCGAGTCGTGTAAGATTGACATCATTCCATGCCTGGATCACCTCAGATAATCAACGACCCATACGAGACTAACACGTACTCACCAGTGTGACAGACGTGAATATGCAAGGCTGAGCACCCAGTGTCATATACAGAATCATACCATCCTGCCCTCCGATTGTCAGGAGAAAGTATGGACTGGTGACTCACACCCCCCTGAGTACGTTCACACCCTGAGCACTGCATACACTTCGTCCCAAATATTGCCTGCACCAACCACCGGCGCAAAGTTGTACCTGGAAACTGGTACTGAGGAGAATCCTTGATTCGTGGCATGTCCACCAGTGTGTTAGCGATCGATTTCACAAACAAGATCAAACAACTAAGCGTGACTCGCACTTCGGTCAGGCGCTTTGTGTTGTCCGCAGGTTTGCGTTAAGGGAGCTATCGCTTAGTTGAGCGAGAGTGAGTTCAGACTAAGTTATCGGGTGAATAAACTTTAGTTCGAGACTGAGGTTTAAGACCTGCAGTCGAGCTACTTAAATACAGTTTGGGTCGTGCTAAATATACTACAAGTGTCTGCAACGGTACGGTAAATGTACTGAACCCTCATGGTAGAATGCGATCAAGTCCGGAGTATTGGCATAGTGAGATTACGAGAGAGTCGATAAGATAAGATAAAGCGTGAAATCGTAATATTACCCCCCTGTTAAGGCAGTCGTCCCGACTGCAATGTAGTTTGGTTTTGGGAGATAGGCTCCTATGAGTGAGGGTGCATTTGGTTTTACCAGGTATTCTTGTATTGCCTGTACCAATGGGTGGTCGACTTCGGATTCCGTTACCGACTCTGTTTCTGACCAGGAGTCGGATTCGTCATTGTTCTCCCACCAGTCTGCAGGTGGATGGGTAATGAACGAGACTTGTTCGAAGTCTTCGATGGCATCCCTGGCATTGTCCAAGTCTTGCTCGTCTACCCAGGAATTCTCCTCTCTCGGATATCCTTTCCACTTTATGAGGTATTCGATTCCGGTGCTTCGCCTTCTTCCTCGCCTTCGGACTCTTTCCCTTCGGTCTACTATTTCTTCTACTTCATACTGTTCTTGTCCGTCTATGAGATCCGGCAGTGGCGCTGTGGGCTGTATTTGGATTGGGAATTCCGGTGAATGATATGGAGTAAGGAGGCTTTCATTGAAGCAATCATGAATCTTCCATGTGGAGGGGAGTCGCAGTTTGTATGCGGAGGCACCATGTTTTGATAGTACTTCGAATGGTCCGACGCGTTTGTCTCCTAACTTCTTCATTGGTCGGGGAAGATGTAGGTTTGTGGAGTCCAACCAGACTCTGTCTCCAGGTTGGTATTCTATCACTTCTCGCTGATGCTTGTCATACTGCCGTTTCATAGCTTCCGCCGCCTTTTCTAGCACTTTGGTAGTTTGGTCATGCACTTTCTGTATATCCGCTACGAATTCCCTTGCTGCTGGGTTGGTCCCTTCCTTGATTGTTAACGGGGCCAAATGCGGTCTTTGTCCATGGTTGATTTCGAAGGGGGAATACCCGGTTGCAGAATGCCTCCAGTTATTGTGCTGAAAGGTGGCGAGAGGCAACCACTCACTCCAATCGTTTTGCCTGTGATTGATAAATATTCGGAGATATTTTTCAATCTCCTGGTTCGCTCGTTCTGTTTGTCCATCGGTTTGGGGATGATATGCCGTGGACGGGTTTCCTTGTATCTGCAACATCTCATACAGCTCCTTCATGAATTTGGATACGAACTGAGGCCCTCGATCAGAGATCACCTTTTGGGGCATGCCGTGTTTGGCCCATACATGGTCTCTGAGTATTTTGGCCCATCCCGCCGAGGTTAACTCAGTGGAGCAGGGAACCGGGATTACTTCTTTAGAGAAGCGATCCACGATCATAAGGATGGCGTTATACCCATTGGACTCTGGTAGTTCCCCTATCATGTCGACCGTGATATGCTCCCATGGTCGTGAGGGTATGGCATGAGGGTGTAGCGGTGCTCTCCGATGTTGAGTGCTTGTCTTGGTTCGTTGACAGGCTTCGCAGCCTTTTACATATCGCTCTACATCGTTTTTGAGCTTTGGCCACCAATATTCTCGTTGTACGAGCTCCTTGGTCTTTTCGATTCCAGGGTGTCCGGCTGTGATGTGGTCATGATGGATGGCGATCAATTCCCCTCGTAGCTTGGCATCTCGGGGCACATATAGTCATCCATCATAATGCATTAACCCGTCTTTTTGCATTATCCCCTTGGGATGGTGAAGGGATGCTTCAATTCCCTTGTCCCACTTGGTAACATCTCTCAGCGCTGTTCGAATGTGCTTGTGAATCTCCTCTTCTCCTGGCATGATTAATGCTCGGAACATTTCCGGTTTTAGCATTATTACTTCTCGATTGTCTCCTACTCCCTGGTCATGGTCCGCCCTTCTTGATAATAGGTCGGCCTTCTTGTTAGCCGTTCCGGGTTTATGATGTAGCGTGAAATGGTATTCTGCTAGCTCTGTCACCCATCGGGCTTGCCTGCGATTGAGCTTTTGGGGTTTTCGGAAATATTGGAGATTTTGGTGATCTGTCCAGATTTCGAACTCTTGATGAGCGCCCATTAGATAATACCTCCAATCTTCAAGGGCCAGCATGATTGCCAACAGTTCCTTGTCGTAGATTTCATAGTTTCGTTCGGTGACCGTTAGGGCCTTGGATAGAAATGCTACTGGCCTCCACCTCCCTTCCTGTTCTTGGGATAGTACGGCCCCGATGGCTCCTTCGCTTGCATCCACTTCCACCCGGTATTTCCCTGTTCGGGTCGGGATTGCTAGTACCACTTCTTCGGCTAGCTTTCTCTTGATTTCCCAGAATGCATCTTCCTGCGTTGGTCCCCACCTCCAATCTGTCTTTCCTGTGAGCTGGGTAAGGGGTCGCACATGCTTGCTGTAATCTCGGATGAATCTTCGATAAAAGTTGGTGAACCCTAGAAACGATTGTAGTTCTCGCTTCTTCGTGGGTTGGGGCCACTCCGTAATTCCTTTAATTTTGACGGGGTCCATGCGGACGGATCCTTGGCTGATGATTACTCCGAGGTATTCCGTTTCTAGTACCTTGAATTCGCACTTTTCTGCTTTTAGAAAGAGATTATTGGCTCGTAGGATGGCCAGGACTTCTCGTATGACCTCACGATGTTTGTCCTCATCCTTGGTGCAGATTAGGATGTCGTCTAAGTATACCGTGACATCCCCTCGTGCGATCTGCTCCTTGAACAGGTCATTCATCATCCATTGGAATGTGGCTGGGGAGTTGGTGAGTCTGAAGAACATCACCATGGGTTTGAAAAGTCCACGGTTCGTCCGAAAGGCAGCCTTCCACTCGTCTCCTGCCTTGATTCGCACATTATTATATCCCCATCGAACGTCTAGCTTGGTGAAATATTTGGCGTCCTTGAGTTGATCCATTAATTCTCCAATGAGCGGGAGAGGATAACGGTTCTTAATGGTCATCTCGTTTAGCTTGCGATAGTCTTGGACAGGTGGCAGCTTTCCATCCTTCTTCTTGACAAAGAAAAAGGGAGATGCCATCGGGGATTTGGAGGGTCTAATCCTTCCTGATTCCAGATTTTCGTCCAGGAACTTGTCCAATTCCTCCTGCTCCGTTGGATTAAGCGGATAGACTTTACAGTCCAGGCTAGCATTGGCATTGGGGGTAAGCTCAATGGCGTGGTCCCATGGTTTCCGTGGTGGCAGCTCATCAAAGTTCTCCTTTGCGAATACATCCCAGAATTCTCGATAATGTTCCGGTACTATTTCCTCAAAGGTCTTCGCCTCCTTTGCTTGATTGGCTTTGGCAGCTAGTTCGTTCACTTTACTTCCCATTGCGTGGACGTGGAAGGCTTCCTCAAAGTCTATTATGAGAATGGTGTCTCCTTCTTCTACTTCCGTTCCCCAGGATTGTTCGGGGTCTTCGTCCAGTAGGAGGAAGGGTATTTTGCGGCATGAGCATCAGGCTAGGGTTACTGCCCCTGTTTTCCAATCAATAATGGGATTATGACGCTTGAGCCAGTCATGTCCCAGGAATAAGGACACATTTCCTAGGTCCATGACAGCTAAATCGATCTTCTCATGATGGTCCCCAATGGTCATCCGGAGTTCCACTACTTCAGTTATATCTCCTCCCTTATTTCGGCTGCCATTGGCATTGTAGACTGCCTGAGCTTTTGGCAGTTTTACCGTGTTCATGCGGTGTTCCTGCACGAAGGTTCAGTTTATGCAGCTTCTGGTGCATCCGCTGTCGACTAGAGCGTCAGCTGCCCATACTTGGCCGGTGTCTAGGGTTTCGAGTTGTACTCGGATATTGACGCTTCGGCCTTTTCCTCCTCGAATGTATTGGGGGGGAACACGTAGGTCCTCCATATTTTGTAGACACTGCTCCCGTTGTCTATACGTTTCTTTTGGAGATCCAATGAGATCCAGGACTAGCTCTTCGTCCACTTCTATGAGGCGTCTCGGATGTATCCACATGCGTAGAGTGGCGAGCTTCCCTTCCATCGTTCTTTCTTGCCTCATTTTCCTTCTTACCCACTCGGCGCTATGTGGTTTGAGCCACCCTCTATCCCACTTATCGTCATAATACTCCTCCTCTAGCTCAGTTACCTCATAGTCTTCCGGGTACTCCTCGGTGTGAATCACTGGGTCTTCCCCTCGTGTCTTGATGCTTTGTTGATAACTGTAGTCGTCTTCCTCATCGGGCACTTCTTCGAGCGAAAGGATTTTTTTATTACAATCTGAAGAATCACA